AGATAAGTAACTATGCATTTACTATAGCCCAAGCAAACCAATTTACTTTAGCCCAAGACAGATGTAGACAGAAGCATGAAGCATATATAAGCATTTATGTTTTCAGGTTAAATGAAGCATATAAAAGCATTTATGTTTTCAAAAAGCAAACCAACTTACATAAGTGGTAGCCCTGGCTGCTCTCAAAAATAGCTCCTTGAAGGTTGATCCAGTGTAGTTGAGCTTGAAGTTAGCCCAAATATGCCTAACACAGAACCTTTGTTCTGCTTTGGGAATAACATCAGCCATTGCTTTAATCAAACCCTACCAAATGCAGACAAAAGCAAAGTCAAAAGCCATACACATGGAAACTTAAAAATTGAACCTAAATACTAAAAAGGGAAATAGAAGCATACCTTCTGCCTATCAGACATGATGGTTAGCCCAACTCCTTGATCATGTGTGAACATTGCCATAAGGGATTCTAAGAACCAACCCCAAGTTTCCTGGTTTTCTATCTCCACTGTAGCCCAAGCTAGGGGAAATAAGTTGTTATTCCCATCCTTAGTCACTGCCACTAGAATTTTCCCAGGAAAGGCACCTTTGAGGTGACAACCATCCAACCCTATTATTGGCCTACAACCTTTTGCAAAGCCATCTCTCAGTGGCCTTAAACAGATGAACATTTTCATGAACAAGGGTGGCTTTGGGCTGTTAATACCATCAACAACAATATTGCACCCAGAACCAGGGTTGTACTTCATCACAGCTTTCCCATAATCCCACACCCTTGCATACTGCTCCCTAGCTGAACCAAATATGATCAGTTTTGCCCTACACCTAGATAACCATGCCTTATAATAACTCACTTCAATTCCTAAATCATTCAAAATCCTAGCCCTAATCTCCAGAATTCTCCAACCTGGGTTACTCCTAAACTCTTCTAAATACCTCTCTGCTATATATTCAGCAGTAAGCATCTTGTTCTTCTTCACTCTGAAACAGGTGTGGTCTAATATCAAGGTTTTTATTTGCCAAGTTTGCTGCTTCACAAGTTTTGATGCTAACACCTTGAAATGACACTTTACTCCCCCCCACACATGTACAAGCAGGCATTCTACAGGTGTAGTTATTGAACTCACATGCACATCTATACCTACACTGAATTGTAATCCTTTTACCATCTTTATGAAAATAGTAGAACTCATACCTGTTTTCAATGGCATGAAGTCTTAAGGCCCTCCTTAAGACTGAAGAATTGCTGAATTTCTGATTTAACTTCAACTGGATTGGGTTGTCAAAGTCCAGAGCAGCATTAAACCATGGAGCAGAGTCCTCTTCCTCATCAGATCCACACAAACTTCTTGAATCATCTGAATCACCACCAGCCTCGGGATTCACCTTCAGTTTTCCAACATCCAAGTCATCCCTCAACTCTACCCTCTTATCTTTACCAACTCCCACATCTATTTCACTCCCCAAACCTTTCCTAAGGCTCTTGTTCACCTTGTCCAAGATCTCCTTTGACCCTTCAATATACCATTCCTCATCCCCTTTCATCATATTCTTCTTCACCAGGTTCCTAATCCTGGCCCTCATCACTCAAATCAGAACTTGAATAACCAGATCCTTCACCTCCATCATCTTCCTCATCATCAAACCTCAAGACTTTAGCCTTAGCTGAGGCTTTCCCTTTCAACTTCACCTCTGTATTTGCAAAACTAGAAGCTCCTACTTCTGCTACCTTCTCTTTCCCTTTCTTTGTGAGAAATATATCCCTAGGTGGACTCTCCTCCCTATGTTCAGTGTCTACCTTCTTAAACCTAGGGCTCCTCTTAACACTCACAGTAGTTGAACTTCCTACTTTCTTGCCCTTTTTTTTATTTGTCTTTGGTGGATTGGGTTGGGCCTCCTTTATGGGCTTAGTAGGAGCTTCTGCTGTTACAAAGACTTCAACATACCCCTCTGCATTTACTGTCTCTAAAAGGCCCTTAACTTCTTCACTATTAACTAGTTCCATTTTCCCAGTGTTAAAGGTTTTCCCCTTTTGCCTATACCAACACCTGTAATGCATAGGCACAGCCATATCACCACTAACAAAACCATGAATTGCAGCTGTTCTAATCAAATGCACATCCACCTTAGAAACCTGGACTTTCCTCTTCCAGTAACACCAACCACCACACCAACACATCAGCTGTCTGTCTTTGCTAACTCTTTTAGGGACAAAATCACCTCCCACCCTAAGGTAGATGTCAACCATACTATCATTGTCACCTATTACCTACCATATTAAAAGCCATGTATCAATACATGCACATTACGAATAAACAACACAAGTGCCAAACATACAGTACAAAGCTCTAATTCCAACATTCATAACAATTGAAACTAAACAATTGAATCCCAATTTAGGTTCTCAGTAACATAAGTTACATTAATAAACAAATCACACATGCACAGTTAATAAACAATAAATTAAACCACTTTATTTAACCTCTAATTGCAATTAAGCACTCCAATTAACCTAAGTCGCATAGTCAATTGCAGAAATTGATTTTTTAAGGGTTTTCTACTCTGTTGCCAAAATTGACCCTAATTTAGAACAATATTTCAATTTTGACATCAATAAAGCACCAATAGCAGACGAAATTGCTATCAAAAGTCAAAAAAACAAAAAATTACCTTCGTTGCTGTCAGATTTCCACCAACTTTCGCCCTTTTCTAGTCGATGAAGATTGGTGACGAAACACTACTGACCTAATCTTCACCAATGTTGACAGCTCCTTCCTACACTGCACTCTTCAGCACACAATTTAGGTTACAATGCGAAATCAATGGTGGTTCAAAGAGAATTCAAAGAAGATGGTTGGTGAGAATTCAATGAAGGAAGAAGGTTCGTGTTTTGGCGGTTTTGCTGGGTGAAAAGTTGGAGTTAAAACCATAATTGTGGGACCCACGTCATTTTTCCGTCACAGAAACCGTTAACTGGTGGTAACTTCTAATTTTTAAAAATTTTGGTGGTGTTAAAATAAAAGTTTTTTTTTGGGGGGTGTTAAAAAACATTTTCAGACATTTGTGTGGTGTTAAAATCCAATTTATTCTAATCTAATATGATGCAAATATTTGTGTCATAACCATCAGAGAATTAGCTTGGCTTATTATCTTGTCTTGTCAAATGACAACAATTAGAGTATCAACAGCGTTGACATGACATAAGCTTATCTCTTGGTGCATGTTAACTTTGGTTGGTAAATTTTGGTAATTCTACAGTGGTTTTGATGTATATCACTTCATTTTTTGAATTGATTTTCTTTGAGAGGTTAAGTTAGTAGTATTTAGTTATAACATCTAGATAGAGGTAAATATGTAGTGTATAGAATTTTCCACAGATTATTCAACAATGTAATAATATCTACTATTTTGAAGGTAATACATATGCAAGCCGAGTTCAACCATTAATATTTTTTTAAAAAATAAAATCATGTTTCGCAACGACTTTCATCGTAGCTAAATAAATAACATTTGCAACGACATTATTTGTCGCTGCAAAACATATCTTTAACAACGACAATTGTTACTTCTATGAATATATTCCATATGGTTAATAACACTATGTATGATAGATAACGACAAAGTTATGGCAACGAGAATTGTCGTTGTGAAAACTATATCTTTAGCAATGATGATAGTCGTTGCTCCCATTTTTTGTGACGCTCCACACTCGTAATGACCTTGCAATGATAATTGTCGTTTTGAAAGGCGTTTTTTGCAACGATAATTAGTTTTTAGCAACGATTTTTATCATTGTTAAAAAAGTTTTCTTGTAGTGAATATAAAGTTATACAACAAAAGCATCCATCATTGGAGGCTTTTGACAAATGAAACTTAGAAATATATTGTTTGCAAATGAAGAAATCTCTCAATTACAGCCTTGTGTTTGACCTCATATAACAAAGCCTTGCACTTGTTCATCGGATCCACTTGATTGTCATGATGATCAAACTAAGATAAAGATTCTTGCACCAATGAAGCACTCTCAGATATCTGGCGCATCATTTTCTTCTTTTCTTCTCGTCGCTCGGAGAGTTTTCTCTACTAAGGCCCTATTGTCCTAAAGCTTCTTTTCCTCTTCCATTATTTCATCAATCTCAGCCCGCAAGTGATCCATCTCCAAATCTAACTCATGCTCCTTCTTCATTTTAACTCGGATTTGGGCTTATAATATATTGTTGGAAAGATCTTTTCAAGCCCCATCAAACTAAATAATAATTGTACTAGGAACATGGACCAAAATAATCTGGTTTGGACTTTTTTATGATTTGGACACGAAATGAATGATTTTAAGGACATGAAATGAATGATTTTGGGTTTAAACATTTTAGGTAAGGTTAGAAATATGGTCAAGGTCTATAGGAACTTTGCGAGACGCTTCAACTCTTCACCGAACTCGTTAATCAAAACATGAAAGGTACTCATCACTGGGTTTGGTTTTTGGGGAAACGCAATCAAGTGTCTACAGTCATGTACGTTTTTTTTACTACTCTTTTTTATAATTTTCATTTTTCCCGAGTTTATCTGATTTGTGAGGCATTATGCCCATTCCATACACTCACCCCCTCCTCCCTCTCCTCGTGTGCCTCGTAGTCAACACGGGATATATAAACTGAACCCCAAATATAACTCTGCCAATATGACCATCGCTTCACATGAATTACTGCTACCAAATACATATAAAAATGTTGCTAATGACCCTAACTAGAATGCGGCGATGCAAGATGAATTTGATGCTCTTATTAAAACAGGGACTTGGGATAGGGTACCTAGGCCGGCTTATGGGGGTGAACATTGTCAATTGTATGTGGTTATTTAAGCACAAGTACAAGTCCAATGGTGACCTTGAAAGGCACAAAGTTCGTCTTGTTTGTGATGGCAGGACGCAAGAATTTGGTGTAGATTATGATGAGACTTTCAGTCCGGTAGTTTAACCAGCCACTATTCGTACTATTCTCAGCTTACCTATGGCTAAAAAGTGGTCGATTCATCGATTAGATGTCAAAAATGCCTTTTTACATGATGATTCGAAGGAAACTATTTATATCCATCAATCTCCGGGTTTTGTTGATCGGAGAGCACCCTGCTATGTGTGTCGACTTCGCAAGGGTCTATATGGGTTGAAGCAAGCTCCTAAAGCTTGGTACCAGCGCTTTACAAATTTTTTGGTCATATTGGGTTTTGTCATTGCTAAAAGTGACAACTCTCTTTTGACATTTTGACAAGGTGATGATATGACATATTTGCTTCTTTATGTTGATGACATTATATTAGCCACTCGTTCTGACAGGTTGCGAGAGAAGATCATATCTGAGTTGCAAACTGAGTTTCCTATGTCTAATTTTGTCTCTCTAAGTTATTTTTAGGGATTGCGGTGACCCGTACTCCTTCTTATTTACTACTTTCTCAGCAATAGTATACACAGGAGATTTTAGAGCGTGCAGGTATAGGCTCTTGTAAACCTGCAGCTACTACAGTTGACACTGAGTCCAAACTTAGTGTAGATGCAGGTTCACCATTTTGGGATCCCATTTTGTATCGCAGTTTAGTAGATGCTCTTTAGTACCTTACTTTCACTAGGCCTAATATTGCCTATGCAGTGCAACAGGTGTGTCTTTTTATGCATGATCCCAGGAAATCTCATTATGATGCTTTAAAGCGCATTATGCGCTATGTTCAGGGCACCATTGATGATGTCTTATATTTATATCCGTCTGCTTCTACTCGTTTGATTACTTACATTGACGCTGACTAGGGAGGTTGTCCTGACACCCGTCGTTCCACATCAAGTTATTGCTGCTTTCTTAGGGACAACCTCGTCTCTTGGTCATCTAAGCGTCAACCTACATTATCTAAATCGAGTGCAGAAACAGAATATCGAGGTGTCGCAAAGGTTGTCTCTGAGGCTTTTTGGCTTCGTAATCTTTTATTGGAGCTACATTGTCCTCTTCGTTAGGCTACTATTGTTTATTGTGATAATGTCAGCTCTATCTACCTTTCTAGCAACCCGGTACAACACCAACGCACCAAACATGTGGAGATGGATATTCATTTTGTTCGAGAAAAGGTTGCATTGGGTCACGTTCGGGTTCTACATGTTCCTTCCAGATATCAGTTTGCGAACATTATCACAAAAGCTTTCCACGAGACTTATTTTTAGAGTTTAGATCTAGTCTTAGCGTACGACCTCCTCCCGCTATGACTACGGGGTGTGTTAGATATTTATTTATGATAATATTTGTCGCAGAGTAGAATACATTTTATGTATAATTTGTATCCTTATCGCACTAGGTTTCCTTTAAAATCTTAAATGTACATACTTGTGCTTGAAATATCATTACTCTTCATATTAGAAGGTTGTAATGTTCAAATGTGCATGAGCAAGTGTTGGATAAATTATTTCATTGGATGATTGTTTATTTATTAAACTATTTTTGTTAAATCTCATTATTAATTTATGTTGGTTAAATTAATTATGAGACTAGCCCTCAATTTTGATGCATCAAGTTGAGCTAAAATTATTAAAAGAATGGTTCTTGAATTAATTTTGGTTCGTGCACTAAAATTGAATTTAATTAAGTTAGACTTGTTTTAAATTTCAAAATTGCTCAATATTAGTTCTAAAATCCAATTTAGAATTAATTTAAAGTCACACAAAAATTCAAAATAAAATCCCGAAGCACACAAAGTGAAATCGAAGCAATAGTCTCGAGCACCAAGGCTCGGCCGGCAGGGCTGCTTGCGCAGCCCGCATGTTGCTGCTGAGCCAGGTGCGTGAATGGTGTGCGAGTGTGTGCGAGCTGATGCGGAGAGATGCGCGGAGGGTGTGGCAAGCCAGCCTTCTAGCAGGCACATCAACACACTGCCAGTGCCAGCAGCGTGCACGCGTGTGAAGCATGCTGCGAGGCTGCTGGTGCCAGCAAGTGTGCCATGCGCTGCTAGCTATGCGTGCCAGCACCCACACGCGATTATTGGCTAAGGGTGCCTAGAAACCCTAGCCCTTTGGCTTGGATGCTAGGCACTCGACCTTGGGGGTTTTGCTATTTTGCGGTTTTAATTAAAACGGGGCTAGGCCTCAGTTTTTCACGTACTTACATGTTTTGACAAAATTTTGATCGGCTTAATTAATTTTAATTGGATTAATTTTCAATTAAGTTGGATGTGGAATTTAGTGGGAGCTTCATTAATCGCTTTGAGCTTATATTAGCCTTAATTGTGCTTATGATATTGCGTTAGTTCACATAATCGGATAAACACTTGACTAGTTTTAATTAGGCGTGTTAATCGGATTAACCACCTAAGTTAGTAACTAGTATGCACTCGTATTGATACAATGTTTTGTATTGTTGCTTGAATTTTTTTTTTTTGTAAAATGCATGGGCCATTCACTTTAGAAGTGAATGGATGAATGGAATATTGTAGATGTTCTAATGCAGGTTTTACAAAATGGCAACTAGTATGGCATGACTGGGATAGTAAATACGGACTGTGTTCTGTTTTGTATTTTTGTAATTCTAAATACGGATTGCGTGCCGTTAAGTATTTTTGTACTTAAATTATTTAGATAAGTCCTAGTCTTTCTAGTAGTTGAATTATTGGTAGTGATGTCTCAAAGACGGCGTCTAAGAAGACGAAGCCAAGAAGGTGCAATGAAGGCCTTTAAAGATTGGATGCTTCAAGTTTCAAGGGGCTCAAGCAAGTTTGCCAATGCATCTTTATTTATGCCTTATATATATTGCTTATATATAATTGCAATTCTAGATGCATGTTTAGGATTTCGAATGTTGAATGATTAATTAGTTCACTTAAATCAACCAACATAGAAACCCTAGGTCCCTATAAAATTGAGTTAAAATCTGCCATTCCAAAATAACACTTACCGAAACTTTGAAAGTAGGTAATGGGCTATGCCAAAGCAAGGCATTACCACTCTCCTAGAGAAGTAAGGTATACTAGGTATACACGTTAGTTTTGGTTAAACTCAACAATATCGGTAAGGAGTCCTTTGATGTCGTGGCAATGGAGATAAACGTCAAGAAAGCATTAGATGCGACGTTTTATCAAACCAAAAATAGCTTAGAGCTATTAGCAATAAGATTTCTTACCTTAAAATATTAAGTGTTAAGACAAGCCAAAGCATGCTTAATCACTTTTTGATTTTTGGGGTCTTGGAATCGTTTTATTCTCGCCTACAAGGGACAAATTTTAATGTGTGGATAAAGCGCTTAATAAGATTGAGAGTTTGCACGTATGCTTTAAATATCAAGCTTATTGGTTTTATGAATGGTTTTCATTGCAAATTCTTTCATTTGTAGTAAAATGTCTGCAACCGACAACAACATGCACCCGCAACTCCCGGAGAAGTTGGCATTTAATCTGAATTTAGTCAACTTTAAGGAATGGGAAAAGGAACTCCGGAAAACTCCACGGAATTGTTCCATGGAGTACATTTTGGACACTCCCATTCTGAGATTCTTCTCTGAGGGAATCATGAGTGATGAGACTCATGAAAATTGGTCCTTGGATTGTGATAAGGTCACAAAATTGATGAGGAACTCCCTTCCGGAGGATTAGAAGAGGAGGTTCACCTCATACCTTTCGGACATGCTTGTTAATATTCTTAAGGAGCTTGTCACAATGTCTCCCGAGACTAGGGACTTGAATGTTAATAACTTGACTATGTCATTTGTGAAGATGAAGATCAAGGCCTCGGAGGAAGGTTGTCTAGCCAAAGAAAGATACCAAGTATGGACTAAGGTCTACAATGCTAGACTTAGGCCTGGTATGCCCCTTCAACCTCATGTGCTTAGAATGACAAGGCTCTTCAAGCATATGGAGCTTCTTGGTATGGGATTAGAAGATGAAATAGCGGCTCATATGCTACTAATAAGCTCACTCCACTAAGGCTTTGATGCATTTAGAATGCACTTAATGGCCAAAAAGGAGAAACACTCATTAATTGAGGTGGCTCAAGAGCTTCATAAGGCCGACTCTCGTGGGGCTACTAGGATTTCCTTGAGAGCAAAGAAGGAGTTCAAGAACAAAGCAAAGATGCGATGCTTCTATTGTAGTGAGCAAGGCCACTACAAAAGGGAATGCAAAGTCTTCTGAGAAGATGAGGAATAGGGGAATGTTCCATCCTCCTCAAGTATCTTCATTATAACCTATCACTTGGGTATAAGCAATTCATAGGTATTGGATACCATATATGACTCACTTTATGTTCCTATTTCAGGGATCATGTGAGAGAGCTTCACAAATGGATGTGCAACTACAATCGGATGATGAAGATGGTCTTTCCGTCGTGTTTGTAGGCACATTGTTTGTCTTTGACTTGTAATAGAACTATTTTTGTTTTATTTCGCTTACCATTGAACATACTTTGATCTTTGGCTTTGGACACCGGGTTTCTTTGATCACAAGACTCTAACAATGGTTGTTTTAAATGTCTTGCTTATATGTTTTATGGAATTACACCTTTTCTTAAAATGTATTAGACAAACAAGTTTATAACGTTAATGATACCACCAAAAGGGTTAAGACCATTGAGTCGAATCAAACCTACTTGTGGCATTGTTGTCTTGGCCACATAAACATCAAACGCATCAAGAAACTTCTTCATGAAGGGATTCTTGATTCATTTGACTTGGAATTGTTTGAAAACTGCGAAGGATGTCTACTTGGCAAGATGATAAAACAGCCAGTCTCCAAGTTAGGAGAAAGAGCTAGTGACTTATTAGGACTCATACACACGGATGTATACGGACCAATGAGCACAACCGCAAGAAATAGTTATCGCTATTTTATCACGTTCACGAACGACTATAGTAGATATGGCTATGTCTATCTAATGTCGCAAAAATCTAAATCCTTTGAAAAGTTCAAACAATTTCAGAGTGAAGTGGAAAATTAGCTTGGCAAGAAAATAAAAGCCCTTTGATCGGATCAAGGTGGCGAGTATTTAAGCTACGAATTCGACGACCATCTGAAAGAACATGGTATTCTCTCATAATTGAAACCTCCCGAAACTCCACAATGGAACGGAGTGTCCGAGAGGAGAAATCAATCTCTGTTAGACATGGTTCGATCCATGATGGGTCTTACCGATCATCCTATCTCTTTTTGGGGACACGCACTTCAAACCGCGGCACTAACACGGAACCGCGCTCCATCTAAAGCTTTCGAAAAGACTTCATATGAATTATGGACGAAGAAACCTCCACGATTACTATTTCTTAAGATTTGGGGTTGCGAAGCATGTGTCAAAAGACTTATATTCGACAAACTTGCACCAAAATCAGACAAATGTTTCTTTGTGGGGTATCCAAAAGAAACAAAGGGGTATTACTTCTATTACCAATTTGAGAACAAAGTATTTGTTGCTCGAGATGGTGTCTTTTTGGAAAAGGATCATCTTTCCAAAATGACAAGTGGGAGAAAAATCGAACTTGATGAAGTTCGAGAAGATGAGCAACAAAGTCAACCTGACAAAATCAAAGTGCTTTGGAAGCAGCTGTTGATAATAGTCAGAGTCAAACCGACAATGAAAATGCTCAATCTATTACCTTGCATAGGTCGCAAAGGCAAAGATCTCAACCAGACAGATACCTCGATGTTATCTTAACTGAGAATCAAGACATCCTAGTTATGGATGAAGATGAGCCAGCGACATACAAACAAGCTATGATGAGCACCGACTCTGCAAAATGGTAAGAAGCCATGAAATCCGAGATGGACTCCATGTTTGAAAATCAA